TTCGCATAGTCGACAATGTTATGTTTTATCAATAAACAAATGCTTGAGATGTAAAGTATTGCACTAGATATCCAGTGCTGTTTGTCAAAGCAGCTCAACCTTCACTCGTGCCCTCACAAACAAGATGGGACAACGAGCATCCTGCTCTTGCCTCATCATAGTGTAATCAAGGATTTTGATTTTGCATAGTTCAAGATATTTGATGTTAGAATTTTTGTGCCTCAGATTTACAGTATACATTTGAATGGGAGAGGCAACATGTTTCACGGGCATTGGCAAGGTGTATGAACATCCAACTAGGGTCACGAAAGCATGAACTGAGCTGAGTGTACGTGTTCTATCAAGCATGATTCAAAGCTCATGGCCCTGCTTTGAAGCGTGGTTCGTTCGGAACCTTGCAACCTGCATGCTGTGGACTGATATGATGTTCAGAACTCTAGAGTGTTGTAGACAGTAGCAGCTTCGCATGCAGCGAGTAGCAATACTCTGTAACACGATTGTTCTCGGTCAAGGCATCAACAGACGGTACGCATTTCATTAAGCATGATCTGGAATCAGTTTACTTGCAAGAGAACTCCTGTGCACATGACTCTGCAACTGCGCTGGAAAGTTGCATGCAGATCTCAGCATGATGATGTGACGCAGAAAAGCTCACTCCATACAGGTTGTCAACTCTCACGATGTAAGGATATGAAGTTAAGCTATGTATGCAACATTGAGATACGTTGCTTCAGAAGTGATCCACTGTCATGAATTCTCATGAATTCATTCAAATCGTCTTTTCTCCACATGTTGAGCACCAACAGCAAGTATTCGATACACTTAGATCATCCCTACATAATTTTCTTTTGTCGTAAAACTTGTCTGCTGTCGATATCGTCACGAGCATGTAATATCTTACATTTGTTCATTGTTCTGCTAGGAAGGAAGGTGCCAAGGAAAAAAATGCTGTGTTGCTTGTTCATGTGGATGCACGATGCTTACCTGATACACAAACATGAGAAGATCAATCTTCACTTGATCTCAGCTTCACCGTGATTCGTGATGGGATCTGTTTTTGAGAAACAGATTGCCGCTAACAGTTTGCACGTCTTCAACAATGTTGTTCAAGCTGGAATTGGGGTTCTAAACAATCTAGACAATATAACGTCTGTCATCAACCTGTATGTGGAGTAGCAATGCCAACCTGAGTGCATCACCACATGTAATATGTGCAAGTGCAGCGTTGAAAAGGGCAGAGCTTTGGGCATCCTGATCCATGCACGATGACTGCTCGCCGGGAAGCAGGATCTGTCACTAAAGTATCAGAGTTGCAAAGTGAGCATGCATACCACTCAAACCCACCATCTTTGATTCTCATGTTTGACCTTTGTCACCATGTTGGTCTTGGCATCTTTCAGTAGCCTGATGGTCGCTGGATGGGCAACATTCATCATGCATCGAGAGGGAGGGATGGGTTGGGGATTCCTTACCACCCACCCCCTGATCCCAAGATTGAGTGCCGTATCGACCACCCTCCTGTTTTAGGGAATTATGACACATGAGCAAGGGTGGGTACCTTACGTTAAAGTTCAAATTTTGAATACACGCCTCTGACCAGGGGTTATGCCTCCTGTATCCAACAGAGAAAAGCATGGGTGGGTCGATAGGATTTTCGGTACTGTTCTTGTACCACGAAGGCGTGTAGAATTGATTTTATTGTCGTCATGCAGTACAGTTTGAATCTAAGAATAGCACGCCGCCGATACAAATTTCTGCATGCAAATACTTGGAATAAAAGGTTCACAACCTACCCTTGCCCCAGCCAAGTCGCCCACCCGACCTACTCTTTTCCCATGGGAGAGTGAGGGTGGGGTCTACTCCAGGCAAGGGCAGAAGACCCCCACTGCCCAGGCGCCATCAGGGGGGGAAGGACTGGTACAAATTGCAATTAGAGCCGTGTCCATGATTAGTACCAGAAGGACAGGATCGAGAATTAACTAAAGCTATAAGCGAACGTAATGGTCAAACCTGGTTCCCGTCAGGGACCTCAACTTACTAGCATCGCGGTCCCGCTTGTCTGCCTTGTCAGCTACTAGGATGGGCTTAGGTCCGAGGCCCTCACGCAGAATACTGCCAATCTTCTCAGCCGCTCGCGGGCGGGTACGGATCTCAGCCATAAGCTCTGGGAAAGCATATGTCACTGAGGTGTGCGAGATGCTGGGGATTGATGCTGCGAATGCGACCTCGAATGTGTATGTTATTGCATTGGAGCTGCAGAAGAAGGACATGAAGACGGAGCTGCAGCTGCAGAAGAAGGACAATGATGGAGAAGGAGCTGCAGCTGCAGAAGAAGGACATGGAGACGCAGCTGCAGCAGCTTGCTAATTACTACAAGTGTCAACTGTCATTCCTCACCCAAAGGTGTGCATCAGGCTTGATTGAAACATGCGGAATGATATTGATGACGCAGGTATATCCTTGAGAAGCGTTTTGCGACCTGCTGTAACGCTTCAGCAAGATTCACAATGAAATCATTGCCTCCCGTAGTCGTCATGTTCTTTTTGAACTTTGACTTTGGGTAGTTCCCGCTGTTCTCATTGGAGCAGTTGGGGTTTTTCTGACGAAAGTTTTTTGCGTTGGGTTTCCCCTGAAACTTGGGCTTGTTGTACGCAGAGCCCTTGTTCGGCAGTTGGTTCCCAACTTGCTGTGCGGCTGCTCGAGTAGCTTGCTGTTCTCTTTTTTCCATCCTTGAGTCTGGAATCCGTTGACTGGGTCTCCGGTGATTCTTTTCCATTTCTGCCGATCTTAGTCTTGTCGTGCTGTGATGTACCGTGACTCTTGTAGATCTTTGCGGGGTAATTGCACTCAATGCAAATCGCACTGCACATTCTTGCCCTTGGGTACCGCCTGGATCTGTAGTATGGTAAACCTTGTTCTTCTTGTGGTTTGTGCCATCTACGTCTTGTGGCGCCTTCCGTTTGTTTGGGAAGCCAGGGTGGCTGTAGGTAGTGCGCACGATTGGGACTGCGTTACCGTCTTTCGTAGATCCTTGTTTGGTGAAATGAACTTGAGTTCTTCGCCACGGCGTGAAATCGTTGAAGGCTTTCAATGGTGGGTTTCTCGTTGTAGTAGAACGTTGGTTCGGTTGACGCTCGTTGGATTTGGTTGGTAATCCATTTTGCGATTTGTCCTTGTTCTCCGTGTCGATCGATACTTTTCAATTCCTGTTGGATCTGGTCCCAGGTAGTGGCTAAGATGAGTTCACAGTCCTGTCCTTTTTCCATGAATCTCTCAAGAATCCGAATAATATCGGTGACGTAAGTAGTATAGTCTCCTCCATACTTTAGTGCTTGGTTGAGTTCTTTCAAGCTTTGAGTTGTTTGTTTCGTGCTTGACAACTCAGTCGGTTGGTCCAATTGTTTAAATTCATTCCACGCTCGTATCGCGGCGAAGTGAAACTTCCCTGCGTTGGAATCGCTGTGCTGCTCTTTCATATATCGCGTTATGGTTTTCTTTCTGCTGCTGCAATTTTCGTAGATTGCAAACAGAATTTGAATGAGTGCTTGGTCTGCTATTTGCACGAATTCTCTCCGCTTGACGATAATGGCTTCTTTTTCTGCAACTGATAATCCTTCTGAGATTGGAATGTTGTGCTCGAAGAAAGCTTGCATTTTCTCTTCTTTCCCTTCTGAGTTGAGATATGCAAAGAATCTCCCGCTTAGCTCTCTTTGAATAAATTCTTCGATTGCTGGAGCGGCAGTTCTTGCATTCTCTGGTGTAACTCTTGTAAGGATCGAGTTGCCATTTGATGGAGGCCAGTTTAGTTGGTAAGCTGTCGTCATTCTTCAACGCGAGGCTCTAACCTGATGTGAGACTTGTTCCACAACGTAGCGAGGTGTGCTTGGAAGAATGAAGAATGAAGCTAGATTTGTTTATGTATCAGCAGAGCAAGATAACGTATGAGGGACTGATGTGTAAGAGTGGCGAGGAAACGAGCAGCGAAGGTGTCCGCTCCTCTCTGAGCTTAAATAGTGTCGTAAATGATCTTGCTATGGTACGGTCAAGTCTCATCCTCATAGTACTCTACCTGTCGTATGTACTGAGTTTACGACTAGCCGCCAGGTCCACCGTACAAGATGCGCCCTGCCACGTTGGGCATGGTACACATAACAGTCGGTATTTGCCTGATGAAGTACCAAAATGTACCCGACACGGTACCTGAGGTATTCCATATAAAACTTCATATTGCCCTTATAGTTTTTGCTATTTCGGCATGATGCTGTTGCATCGTTACAAGTGCAACGATGTCACGGGTACAACATCATATCCTTGAGAAGCTGTTCAGGAAAGTGGTGCAGATTGTTGAATATTCCGAAGATGGTGCGCTGCAATCTATGTTGTCGAAGAAGGATCTCAATGCGATGCTGAAAGGAGATATTTCTATGACTGGGCCGTAAATCGGCTCTTGAAGGATGAGGAGCACGCAAGGTTTCGACGGAAAGTGTGGGAAACGATCGGGGTACCACAGGACCTTGTGATACCCACGTTTGATTCAAAAACGATGTTGTATGGGCAGCTCTCTGAAGTGATACAGGGGTCATCGGGAAAGTATGTGTATCTACCGTCGAATGCAGGCGAATTGGAGATCAGATTTTTCGGTGAGGTTTCAAAGCTTTTCGAGAAGGATGTAGACTATTTCGACGTCGTGTCGGTAAATGCGGGAGAGACCCTGGAAGCTGATTTTCCCCCAAAAAACCAAACGAATTCGTCCGGATATTCAAGGTGATAACTGGGACGGTTGGGTCTCCTTGTCCCTCGCCGTGGGGGTCTAGGCCCCTCTCCAACCAAGTCGGCCTTGCGCGCCTACCGTACGGTACCGCGGCAGTACTGCAGGAAGAAAGGCAAACAGTGGAACTGGGACATGTAGGACGTGACGGCGTTTTGTGTGTTGGAAGTAAAGAGTTAGTGTTGTTGCTACAGGAAGATGCAGAAGTAGAAAGTACAAAGAGACCACAGAGGCGCGCCACTTTAGACTATGATTGTGTATGAGAGCCCATACGCGGCCGAACAACATTCTACTTTGAAACAAATTGAAATTCGTTCTTTCGGATAGTACAGCTCGTACCGAATCACTTTTTGAAATTCCTACTGTACGCGAATTTAACCTACAGTTACTAACAACGTACAGATAGTAGCGTACCGGACACACCTACTATCTTCTCCTGAGGACGGGATAGTTTTTTTTTAGTTTTCTCGCACGACAAAGATTTTATTAGAGACTAGCTGTATGTCCCGGCGATGCCCGGGAAAGAATTTCCCCCTTTGACAAAAGTCCGAGGGTTGTGGAAATGCTGGATGTAAACATACACCACGGTTTCATGTTCTCATCAGCAACAACGCATGAGATGATCGTGACTGCTTTTAGAGGTGATGCTTGGAAAAGTCTCACACTTCCTCACACCCACCTGTCTAAACTGAGAATGCACTGTGTCGCGTGACCCTTGAACAACTGATCTCTGATCTGAGTCTCCTCTACCCAGGAGCATCTGTGTCCCTGCCCTACACAATTGATCATTCTTCCTTCCTCATGTGTCCTTCATCATCTACTCCTCAAGCTTCAATCTCCACATTATCTTACTCTTTCTTCAAAACCAAGGCTCCTGGGATCGAAAATTTTTTGTCTTGCTGTCCCTTTCCTCGACTCTTGTCAATGTACTCAAGGCCTCTGCTGATCAATCTAAAATCTGAAAATTTTCTCTTGACCTTTCATGATCTTTGCAGTCTTGCATACGAAGGAAATCGATCTTGAAACAATTTAAGCATACTACTCTCTGTTTTTAGGTTGGGTTGCAATTATTCGGAGATTTGAAGCCTCTTGAAGCCAAAACATTCTGCAACCTGCAACTCTGTTCAAAAGAATGATTAAAAAACATGAAGTTGAGATGTTACCTGACGGAATCACATACACAGAACTTCAAGTTCAACATGTTAGCACCACTGCTTGCTTAAAAAACTGCTCCAAAATTCAGTGAGTAAGGTAATGTAGTTCAGTGAAACTATCAAGTCCCTACCGAGGAGTGTTCACAATTCGGGAAGAACCTGAACCTAAGTAGCCTTCCCTGCCACCGTCACATCTGGAGGAATGGCAAACCTCCGAAAGTTGGTTGCTGAGAAGAGTGTCATGCAATATTGCCTAACATAACTTCATGCACATCACCTCAGGTGAAAGAAGATCAAAATGGCATTTTGATTTCGCTCCTCTTCTGTTTCCGTGCAGGTTTCCGGGTTGGGCTCGGGGGGGGTGGCTACTTTCCTTCCACTTCTGTCGCCCTGGCGATGCATGCTGTCGCCCTGGCGATGCATGCGAAACGATGCATGCTGTTATGAACGTTAAAAACTGATGGCTATGTGAATAGTCCGGCTAGAGCAGTATCTGCATGAAATATTATTAGCATATTGAAGTCATCTAAACTTGCATGCAAGTGGGAACATACCTTGAGAGGGAGGAGCATGAAGGAAAGACGCTGGTGCGTGCACACTACTCGGATTGTTCAACGGCACAAATTCAAAGCGAAGTTGGGGTTGACTGAACATTACTATTGGAAATTCAAATTTTACTGACCTTATGGGTAGATTTGAAAGTATGTCTGCTGAATATTTCAACAATTCAGTGGAAGGTTTGCAATTCAAGTTCAGGGCGTGACAAACAAACATAGATACATCCAACGCGATCAATCTTTATAAAGAGGGGGGGATGCTTGATGCACACATGGCGACGAATGAAATGAATCCTACAAGATATCTGGTTCTAGGCCTGGCCTTCTCTTGGTTTGCAGCTCTGGTTGCCCCTTGTCATGGCTTCGGGATCCCGCCGGCATTGGAATCGTCTCATGCCTGGTTGCAGTCAAACCTGGTTCCCGTCAGGGACCTCAACTTACTAGCATCGCGGTCCCGCTTGTCTGCCTTGTCAGCTACTAGGATGGGCTTAGGTCCGAGGCCCTCACGCAGAATACTGCCAATCTTCTCAGCCGCTCGCGGGCGGGTACGGATCTCAGCCATAAGCTCTGGGAAAGCATATGTCACTGAGGTGTGCGATATGCTGGGGATTGATGCTGCGAATGCGACCTCGAATGTGTATGTTATTGCATTGGAGCAGCAGAAGAAGGACATGGAGACGGAGCTGCAGCTGCAGAAGAAGGACATGGAGACGGAGCTGCAGCTGCAGAAGAAGGACATGGAGAAGGATCTGCAGCTGCAGAAGAAGGACATGGAGAAGGAGCTGCAGCTGCAGAAGAAGGACATGGAGAAGGATCTGCAGAAGAAGGACATGGAGAAGGAGCAGCAGAAGAAGGACATGGAGAAGGAGCTGCAGAAGAAGAACATGGAGAAGGAGCTGCAGCAGCAGAAGAAGGACATGGAGACGGAGCTGCAGCTGCAGAAGAAGGACATGCAAAAGGAGCTGCAGAAGAAGGACATGGAGAAGGAGCAGCAGAAGAAGGACATGGAGAAGGAGCTGCAGCAGCAGAAGAAGGACATGGAGAAGGATCTGCAGAAGAAGGACATGGAGAAGGAGCAGCAGAAGAAGGACATGGAGAAGGAGCTGCATCTGCAGAAGAAGGACATGGAGAAGGAGCTGCAGCTGCAGAAGAAGGACATGGAGAAGGAGCTGCAGCAGCAGAAGAAGGACATGGAGACGCAGCTGCAGCAGCTTGCTAATTACTACAAGTGTCAACTGTCATTCCTCACCCAAAGGTGTGCATCAGGCTTGATTGAAATATGCGGAATGATATTGATGACGCAGGTATATCCTTGAGAAGCTGTTCAGGAAAGTGGTGCAGATTGTTGAATATTCCGAAGATGGTGCGCTTCAATCTATGTTGTCGAAGAAGGATCTCAATGCGATGCTGAAAGGAGATATTTCTATGACTGCCGTAAATCGGCTCTTGAAGGATGAGGAGCACGCAAGGTTTCGACGGAAAGTGTGGGAAACGATCGGGGTACCACAGGACCTTGTGATACCCACGTTTGATTCAAAAACGATGTTGTATGGGCAGCTCTCTGAAGTGATACACGGGTCATCGGGAAAGTATGTGTATCTACCGTCGAATGCAGGCGAATTGGAGATCAGATTTTTCGGTGAGGTTTCAAAGCTTTTCGAGAAGGATGTAGACTATTTCGACGTCGTGTCGGTAAATGCGGGAGAGACCCTGGAAGCTGATTTTCCCCCAAAAAACCAAACGAATTCGTCCGGATATTCAAGGTGATAACTGGGACGGTTGGGTCTCCTTGTCCCTCGCCGTGGGGGTCTAGGCCCCTCTCCAACCAAGTCGGCCTTGCGCGCCTACCGTACGGTACCGCGGCAGTACTGCAGGAAGAAAGGCAAACAGTGGAAGGACATGTAGGACGTGACGGCGTTTTGTGTGTTGGAAGTAAAGAGTTAGTTTTGTTGCTACAGGAAGATGCAGAAGTAGAAAGTACAAAGAGACCACAGAGGCGCGCCACTTTAGACTATGATTGTGTATGAGAGCCCATACGCGGCCGAACAACATTCTACTTTGAAACAAATTGAAATTCGTTCTTTCGGATAGTACAGCTCGTACCGAATCACTTTTTGAAATTTCTCGGCGTACACCTCCTTGGCGGAGCTTCCTCAGGCGTGCGACAATGGCTGGATCCCCTCGCCTGAATTATTTGGGACGTCGGGCAGTGTGCTTTTCATCCCCGCCCAGCGGGAGCTCACGGCTCAGTTCCTCTCGGAGTTTCCTCGGTTCACCAACAACTGACAGGGACGGAGCTGAGCGCC